TGATCATGTGGCTGCTGTGACAGCCAATCACAGTGGTCACATGATCAGAATGCCTGCCTCTGCCTCCCCACATTTATATTCTCTTAAAAAGATGAGGGCATTTATGGGAAGGAGGGCCAGTAACTGTCTTTCTTTCTTTTTAAGATAAAGGTTTTTACATAAATGAATGCAAGCTGACTATTGGAAGCCTCCTATCATTGTTAAAGGGTTTGTCTCAACCCTCTGTCTGCCATTTTTCTGGAGAGCTTGGTCTGTTGAAGAAAGTTGAGATATAACAATAGGATCAACAGGTAAAAAACTAAGTTACCGGGGGACTGTTTGACTGGTTGGTTAATGCTAGTGACAGACTACATCATATAACATTTTTATTTTGCCTTTAGCACCACATTACGTTTTTGAGAGGGATTACTAAGGCAGAGTGAAATCTTTCTTCAAAACACATAACTGTTTACAATAGCACTTCATGACAGCAGAGGCAGATGGGCACCACACAACCTGGGGCCACACTCTTCCCTCAGTACACCATGTCTGGGAAGCTTGCTCTGCCTTCATAGAAAGGATCTCACTAGGCCTTGGAGGAGGACAAGGTGGAGGGCATTTGGCTTTAAACTCTGTTGTGTTTATTTGTTAAAAAGGAAGGTGAACAGTAAGGATTATTTGTGCTGATGGCATAGTATTTTATTTAGGCGATTCAATATCATATTCACAAATCAGCATTTATCTTGTTCAGCTTATAAAGTACTCATTCATTTAGAATGCATCTATTCCAATCTCCATTGTTTAGTTTATAATGTATATATGATAATGTGTGTTACAATAAATCATATTCTTTAAGACAACAATCCACCATGGCTACCACACCCTATAGCCTAAGTATATGGTGAATGTTTAGCCCACAGGATATTGTCCCCACAATAAAAGGGCCACTTGGTTGGGTATGCCTACCAGGTCAAAACTTTCCAGCCCTCCCCTCTGCCCTTTAGTTGACCAATAGTGATTCCTGACCCCTGCACTCTGTGGGGTTGGTTCACTTAAATTGAAGAGTGCAACATTTAGTGCAGCTATGCATGGTAACCAATCAGCTTCTAACTTCAGCTTGTTCAATTAAGCTTTGACAAAAAAAGCTGGAAGTAGATTGGTTTCTATGTAGATCTGAAGAGTTTTTGCACTCTCCAGTTTTAGTAAATCAACCCCTGTGTGTTAATTATTCCTGACCCCTGCACACTGTGCCTTCTACACCTCTGACCCCTGCACTCTGTACCTTACAGACTCCTGCACTATATACATTATATTGTACATTACATACACACAGTACCTCTGACCAAAGTGCTTATTGTCTCAATAGTTGCTGGTTGTTAAGCAGCCCCTGACTATTTTAATGAACTTTTTCTTTAAGGTAGGTTAAGAAAAAATGTTAGCTCCCTCTATGTTTAATAATAATCTAAACCAAAAATGTGTACCGGTTTTACCAGGCTGGCCATCAGGTGGGCCAATCCAGCTCATCACTGAGGCATCACTAGAACATAGGTGAATGGCCGCACTCAAAAAACCCCACATCTTTACTATACTAAATCCATGAAACAATACAGCACAGCAGGAGTCATGAGCCTTCCAACGCGTTTCACGCTACAGAGCTCCTAATCATTTTATTCAGGAGTGATCATCCACCTAAGTTCTAACTATATTTATGTGAACAAAAGCATCTGTAATGGAAGAGTTTCTTTTGGAAATGATTATGCAGAGGTTTATACATGTCTGTAAGACTCTCAGTTGTGGCACCGCAATCAAAGTACATTTTATGGGTACAAGGGGGCTCAGGCTTTATTTAATCATGCACATTTAAGCTTCTCCCGCTGTAAACGCGATTTTTCCAAACCGACTATTAGTCATGGCTTGCCACACATACTGCATTATTAATCTTTTTAGGGTACCCAAAGGTGACTCAGGTCTTTTACAATCCTAGCAACACTCCTGCTACACATACATCCTCTAAAGTTTATAACTGAGATTTAGGTTGTTTCTAATATATGTGCCACATTTTTGTTAATTTCTATTTTCAAAGATCCCAGACATCGCTCCATGTTTTTTTCAGTTTGCCTTCTATACTGAAGCATACATGCTGGTGTGCTGCTAGATCCTAAATGAATTTGCTTAAGAAAGTGGACTTTAAAAGTAAACTCCTGCCGATTCCTTTTTTCAGAGTCGTTAATCCAACAACCTGTATCTGCAAGCTTTTTCATTATGTTTCTATAGTATATTGATTAGTCAAAGAGGTAAATAGATGTACAGGAACACAACATCCTCTATGAACAAGCAAAGTATGCAGCCAAGGGAAAATAAAAAAGAGAAATATAACATTTTAACAGCACATAGCAATCAGGATATCATTAAAATTTTATCCAACTACACACTGAATAATGGTGATACCTATAAGAGTTGTATTTCTACATATAAGTAAGATAATATAAGTAATATCACAGAATTCAGCAGTGATTGTATTAGAACAAAATACAACTGTTCATAGTCTGAGTGAAAGTTAAAGTGAACATTTCCTTTGTCCATGCAAGGGAAAGGAAAAGGTTCAATTTGTATCCCCCATCCTCAGCATGATATACTCACTTTTTTTTTGGCTCCCCCATTGGTAAGGGGGAGTACGATTCTGCAAACCTTCTTCTTCTTGAATAACACCTAATTGATGGTAGATGGAACCGTTCACCATATTGTGTCAAACTCCTAGCCATAGGCCTGCTCACAATATCCCTGGTCACCTGCCTTAATATTTAAGAATAAAGGAATGTCCACGCAAGAAATATGTTTTCCATACTTTACTGTAGCTTTCAGAGATGACCATGACTTCTAACATCACACTGAAATACTGACAGAACTCTTCGGTGCAAAAACAACACAAATGAGCAAATATTCTGTAGCTATCATTAGGACATAAAGTCCACAGCATTCAACCTCTTTCTAATCAAAGTGCTTTTCTTTTGTACACCAGATTCTCTCTCTATGTCCCATTCTATAGCTCTGCCTAGTCAAGTGTACCAGTGCTCATTTTGGACGACATGTAGCCTGGCTTAAAAGGCCTTTTGCAATCCACTCCAGTCCATGTCAGACTATAAAAGAGTCAGAGCGACAACAGCTGGTCCTTCTGGGTGTTGAAGTACCTTACCCAGAGTTTCAGCCACGTGAAGGGCCATTGGTAGTAGTTGACTATATCAAAATAGCTCTGGGGTGTTTGGCTCCCAATGCCCCTAACTGGGCTTCTCCTATCCTGGCTACACCCATAACATGACTACAGGAAGGCTCAGTCTAAAGGGGAACCTAACACCCACTTACATAATTCCCTTTACCACACTACATTGGGACAGAGAGTGTTTTGAAATAACTGTCACTTCCAGGTGTGGGCCAGCATGTTACTCACTATGCCTTCCCCATGTGAGAGCGCTAGGTTCCTCCAGATTGGCTCAACACTGCCACATGGATCCCAGGAAGGGGTCCAGAGCTAAGGATGATCTCTAACAAGCTGGTTTGGAGCTTACGCAAGGTGTTTTCTCAACCCTGATGACCAAAGGAAGTGGAAGAAGCAAGAAAGGTTGGCATGTACTGCTGTGAAGGCAAACAGCTAAGTAAACATGTTATTTTACCCTGTATGGGAAAAGCAAAGGTTCTTTTTTTTTAACATGGCCGCAGGGCCATGCAGTGGTATGATCTGTCATTGGCTGTGTCCATCGGACACAGTCGATAACTGATCACTACACCGGCCCGCTGCCAGTGTCATGTGATCTCTGTGAGCAATCACAGCAGATCACATGACAATTGTGAACAATGGATGGCATCCTTTCATGCCATCCATTGCATACAATTGTGTTGTTAGCTGTGATTGGTCACAGTGATCAGAGCCAATGACAGCTTCATGACAGCGATCAGAGCCAATGACAGCTAATCACAACAAAATAATTACTTTCATTCAGTAAAAATTATTTCTTACATCAATGAAATACATTGGTATAAGCAATCATCATGTGTAAAAAAAAAATCCTGATCACTTCCCCAGAGTAGTAGTGTTGCTATGGTAAAAATCAAATCGTAAAAAATAGAAAAAAATGTAAACTTTATTTTTTAAATGTAATTAAAATTAAAAAGTATTCATAATTAAATCACCAGTCAGTGTCTCTGATCAATGCAACACCAGTTATATGATAACTCTGTATTGGAATTGGTGACAATATGTTTAAAAAAGATGTGAAAAAAAAATGTTCTAATTTGTTCATTTTCCAAAAAATTGTGATAAAAAAAAATCACAATTTGAAAAAACTCGCCAGGCCTCTTACTAAATACCTTGAACCATTTATTTTCCAAAAATACTCTCCTGGTGTTTTCGGGCCTCAAGAAATGAGATCGACTGTCAGTACATCAGGATTGATCAATTTTCAAATATATACCGTACTCTATAACTTTCCTACAGACTAAATAATATAGACTAATTTGGGGTATTTTCACTAAAGAAATGTAGCAGAATACATTTTGACCTAAATTTATGAAAAAAGTTATTTATTTGCAAAATTTTATAACCGAAACAAAGAAAAACATGTTTTTTGTATTTTATTTTTAATTCTTGGTCTTTTTTTGTTTATTTAACAAAAACTAAGCAGTTATTAAACACCACCAAAAGAAAGCTCTATTTATGTGAAAAAAAATTATAAAAATTTAATTTGGGTGCAGTGTTGCTTGACCCCGCAATTGTCATTCAAAGTGCGACAGCGCTGAAAGCTGAAAATTGGCCTGGGCAGGAGGGGGTAAAATTGGCCTGGAATCAAGTGGTTAACTCACTTTCTTCCTGGAGTCTCTGAGAAATAAAAAAACTACTAGGAGCTGCAATAAAATTGCATAGTGTTTCAATACCAGGGGCGGTCTGACAACTCATGGGGCAATAGGGGATCATGGGGCCCCTGTATCCTCGCCCACACTCAAACCACACCCAAAAAATCCTATGAAAGGTACCAGGGGCATCTCATGGGGCCCCCTACGGACCCCGGGCCCTCGAGCAGTGCCTAAGTTCCCAAATGGTCAGTCCGCCCCTATTCAATACACTGTTTTTTTAACCAAAATAGCTGTTTTTCTTGTCCTAACCCTTCAAGTTACGCTCTAACCAGATTAAATTTAGTTTGCTAAAGCACTGCATATCATAAACAATTTCCATGTATTTTTCCCATAAAATACTTGTTCTTTACATGTTTTAACTTTTTTTTGCATTTCAAGATTGCTGTTCTTCGTCTTCTTTTAGCTGCTTTCTATCTCTCTGAACTTGCTCTAGCTCTGGCTGCACATTATTGCTATGGTCTGGCCTCTCTATGAGTACAATTGGAAATCATGTCTGCAAAATGTGTGTCGACACACCTCTAGGGGTGCATGTGAAAGGGTGACAACACAGGAGAAAATGTGAGACAGCTATCACCTCATAACAAGAAGTGCCTTATAGCCAGACCTGCAGCTATTGATGTGATAAAAGCTACAGATTTAGTAAAGATTCAGCACTGTATACCTTTTGAAGTTACATTAATATGTTGAAGCTAATATGAGATCTTAGTTATAGGATTTAGATAAACTATAATGTAGCAAACATCAGACTGAAAGTGTAAGTCCACTTTTCTTCTTCAAAATGTATATTACAAGGACTTTCCTAATCTTTTCTGCTCTGAACAAAAAGCTGCTTGTTTCACCATGTCTTTTGGATACTGAATCTGAATGAGAGCGACTGGTTCATTGCAATCAACTGGCGCACTCTCAGTGTTCTGAAAAGCAAAGTTGTGCTGTCTGTATCCCTTTTTGAATGTTTAACCACTTCAAGTCTGGACACTTTCACCCCCTTCCTATCCAGGCCAATTTTCAGCTTTCAGTGCTATCACACTTTGAATGACAATTGCGCGGTCATGCAACACTGTACCCATATGAATTTTTTAGCACTTTTTTGAGACAGATAAAACTTTATTTTGGTGGTATTTATTCACCACTGGGATTTTTATTTTTTTTTGCCATATAAATGAAAAAGTCCAAACATTTTGAAAAAAAAGTGTTTTTCTTATAAAATTTTGCAAATAAATAATCTTCATAAATCTTGGCCAAAATGTATTCACTTATCTTCTTAGTAAAAAAAAATAACCCAAATTAGTTTATAAACAAAAATTATAATTAAAAAAAAAATTACATTTTTATTAATTTTTTATATTATTATTTATGTTTTTTTTTTTTTTTAACATATCATCGCCCTAGCAGTACAGTGTCATAGTGACACTGTACTACTTGTGGGGGGTGATGAAGATTTTTTTTTTACACTGATTAAAGGCAATCATTTATCCTTCTCTCTGGCTGCATTCTTGCAGGCATTGAGAAATACTGTGTGAGCTGTGATTGGACACAGTTTGTCACATGGTACAAGGCTGTACAATAGCCTTGTATCATGTGACCTCTGTGATTATTCACAGATTTCACACGTAGTAAGCAATGATGTCAGAAGTGACATCTTGCTTACTACTGTTCATGTGATCACTGATTGGCCAATCAGTGATCATGTGATCGGGACCTCACACAGAGGTCCTGTTCAGCGATCGATGTTCCGCTGTGTCCTCTGGACACAGCAGGTACCGGATCGTGGTGCCATGCGCTCCTAGGGAGCATGCACAGGCAGGGAGGCAGGAGGACGTTTATAAACAGCCATCCGCCCCTGCACTGCTCCCATCTGGCTGTTTATATACATGGGCCGGATGGGAAGAGGTTAAACCCTGAGAGTATCTCGCCAAAACTAAAAACTAAAACTAAGATTTCTTTTGCATGGGTGCCTAAAATTTGACGTATCTTAGTGCAGACTGCTGGGGAAAAATCAGTGAGCCAATCAAACAAGCCAGAAATGACATTTCTGGGGGCAATCCGTCCTCCGACAGTGTACAGACTGCCTCCAGGTTGCCATGTTAAACTGAATTTTACAGAAAAATTGCAATGGCCGCAGATTGAAAATTAAAGGTGTTTTTAATACAATTAAATTACTATATGGCTTGTGGAGCAATTGTATATACTACTGTATATATTTTTTTATTTGCTATTGTTTTACTGAAAATGGAATTATCCTTTAAACAAGAAAATAAATCAGAATAATAACACAAAAAAAAAACAAACTAGGAAAGTCAAGTCTTGGCTAGTACATACATTTTTGTTGTCAATAAAATAAAGGAAGTTCTGAGCTTGGCCACTAAATCAGCAACTGTGTAACAGCAAGCAGTATTTGAGGAGCAATTCATTTTTAACAGCATGGAAATATTAAGATCATGCACTTTCCTTCAGGCCTCTCTGTGTCCCTAGTGCAGTCTACATTTCAGCTTGCAGCTAGGTTTAAATATAAGGATATTATTATCTGACCTATTGTAGTGGCAGAGCAATTACCTGGATAACCAGCTATAGAGCACAAAAATACTGACACATTCTACCTCTATTATTTGTAAATGCTCAGTCCATATGAGAGGCAGGCCGAACCTTCTCACTCTTCCAGCTGAAAACCTTCATTTATCTGTCACTGTCTTGCGGTCCGTTAATAGTCACTCTTTTTGAGCAAGTTAGGCAAAGTGGACCCAGCCACAATATAGTTCATAGCAATGTCATAATGTATAGTTCATAGCAATGATCCTATGCACTCCCATACCTGCATCTACAAATACTTAAAGAGAATCTGTCATGTTGTCCACTCAATACAAGGTGATAGCCTCTTTGTTTACAAGAACCCCACCACCACTACCCCACCTGCTGAAATTGACCTTTGCCTAGTTCCATGCCTATTCATTGCTTGGTAGCCCATGGTGAACAGCCTGTCCTTCTGAGCATGCAGGAGTGTGGGAGCCTAAGTGGCAAATTTCCAAGTCCGTACACTGTCACCTGACAAGGAAGCGGACAGAGAGAGGTTATGCTATGTAAGCTCTGACACCGAGCTTACTCAAATTTGGATTCCCAGCTCCAATGAAAGAATAGAACATCATGATGAACATCATGGTCTCCCACAGTACACAGAACATGGAAATGCAGTTATTTAAGTAAATATACTGTAAACTGATAAATACCTTTTCTCATCAGCGGTTAGAGCAATCTTGTGACTTCTATCAGTGTTCAGCAGAGCACTGGTTAAAGCTTGTAAGAGTTTTCATTCTCCTCTGACTGTTCTATGAGGCTACATAACCCCTGACCCTCTACCTGGACAGTGCTGATTAACCCTGTGTGGGTTTAGTAATACATTAAAGTGTTACTAAACCCACAACAGTAAAATCTGTCTGTATATGCAATAAAGTATGCTTGTTATACTCACTGTGGAACCTAAGGGGTTAATCCTCTGCATTGTATTAAAAGGCCATTTGATCCTGTATTCTCTGCTCCTCCTCTTGTTCAAATGTCCACATCTTATCTCCCGATAAGATAGACTGAACCCATAGCCCTTCTTCACATGCTCAGTTTGGTGTGTATTGCTAGAGAGGTTTTTTTTTTCTTGGGAGAGTGCATGAGATCAGCACAGGGCCAATCAGCACTGTCCAGACAGAGGCCAGGGGTTTTGTATCCTACTAGAGCAGAAAGAAAACTTCTCCTACATGCTTTAACCAGTGCTCAGCTGGACACTGATAGAAGTCACAAGACTGCTCTAACTGCTGATGAGAAAAGGTATTTAGCAGTTTATATTTACTAAAATAATTGTACTTCCATGTTTTGTGTGCTGTGGGAGACCAGATATAGTGAATGCAGGGTCCGGGGTTTAGTAACATTTTAAGGTATCCAGGTGTGTGTGTGGGGGGAGGAGGTTCTTACAGGAGTTTTAGTTTTTAACAAAAAAAAAATTGCAATAGGCAATTCTCCCTAAGATACTAGTCATACACACCATGCATATGGACATGTATCCTCATGGAATTGGTGGTAGGGGGTGGGGGTTATGTGGATGTATTAACATCTAACATCTATTGGTACTAGGCCATGAAAGCTCCCAGTTTCTGTAGGTGAGGCTCAGTTATTCAGCACTGTGGTGACTTGGATCATATTATTAGATGAACAATGAAGCCCCCAATGCACATAAATCTAAATCCCTGCAGCTCTTCCTGGGACACCAATAGAGTAAATAAGGCTCCTGTTTCAGAAGGGACCCCCAATTCTCTACACATGAAGGTTATCTGTGCTTATTTCATTAAGGTGTGGGGTCATTTAGAGGAAACATCACATATTTATCTATACTTTATAAATAATCACTTGTTAATATGATGTGCATATGCAATCAATCAACAATGAACTTGATGACTTCCTCAATCTCCACCAAGTGCTGTTTGGTCAAATCCTCAAATGGTAGGTAAAGTTGCACATCTCAAGGTACAAAACTATTATAGGATTTTATGAGCAATGGATGTACATTCAGCACTTTATTCAGTGTAGTCTGTCTTAAGTAAAAAAAGTGTTCACAGCACTGCTCGTTCACAGCAAGGGTGCTGCTTCACTGGACTATTAATTGGTACTACATGGACTATTATTGGTGACCAAATGATGTGTATACTGTCCCAGTATGGATTGTACCTTAGTCTAAGCACCTCATGGTCCATTTGGCATTTAGAGCCTCTAGAAAGTAGTCCAATGAGGTCACTGCACAAACACTCTACACAGTAACAACATGGAAATAGGCCAGTTGTTTGTATCCTCAGACAACGACACTGTCATAAGCAGGGGCGGACTGACAACTCATGGGGTCCCCGGGCAATAGGGGATCATGGGGCCCCTGTGCTCTTGCTCAAACTCAAAAAAGTCTATGAAAAAGGTACCAGGAGCATCTCATGGGGCCCCCTACTGACCCCAGGCCCTCGGGCAGTGCCTGAGTTTCCAAATGGTCAGTCCGCCCCTGGTAATAAGGCTCCAGTTTTTGCACATGACTCCCCTGTTTCTTTAATGAGTGAATTCCAGACTAGAAGTACTACCACCATTGTGTTTTTGTTTCAGTTTCAGGTATTACTATTATCAGGGGCTCCATTAGAAAGTGTTTCCCTTAGTTTCTGTTCTGGTGGCAAAGTTTTAGTAGACACAAAGTGGAGAAAAATCTGCAAAATGGAAACAAATCATAAAAAGCTGACAGAGGTTCTATCATTACCTTACTTAAAGTGATATTAAAGGCAGATTTAAAAAAAAAAAATAACAAACATGTCATATGTACATTCTATGTGCAATGTTTTTGCACAGAGCAGCCCCAAAACTCCTCTTTCCGGGTCTCCCACTGGCACTCCTCCTGCTGAGT